TGAAATCTGGGCCTGGCTGGGCGTCCGGCTCCGGATGTGGGAGCGCAGAGAGGGCTGCGTGAGCCGAGGTTCAGAGCCTGTGCTGCTCTCGGCTTAGCCCGTGGCTTCCTGTAGCTTCCCTGGTCTCTACTGATGTTCGGCAAGCCCGACGAGGCCTATTTGATGAGAACTACCGCTGTCAGCTACATTGACACCCAGGCTGAACTTACGGAGTGGATTTCTAAACCCAACGTCTGTATTTTATGTTTATTCCTAATGAATGTGCGCTCCTTAATTTTGAGCTAGCATCCTTGTGTAGTGAGAAGATTCTGAGTCATGGTCTTGAGCTGCGAGCTGTCGTTATGTGAATTTCTCAGACATATCTGCTGTGTCATGACCTGAGTCACTTCAAGGCAGGAGAGGCTGGTCCAGAAGACAGACTCTGCCTATCACTGACCCCAGTCTCCTGTGATACCTCCTCACCCCACCCCTGGTCCATCGTTGACCCCATCTCCTGTGATCACCTCCTCACCCCCATCCCTGGGGTTCACCATTGACTCCATCTCCTGTGATCACCTCCTCACCCCACCCCCACCCGTCGTTGACCACATCACCTGTGATCACTCCTCACCCCCACCCCCGGGGTCCATCGTTGACCCCATCTCCTGTGATCACTCCTCACCCCCACCCCCAGCCCAGGTTTCCCACCAGCGCCTGCTCAGGGTTGAGCAGGACTGACCGCCTCTCCTCTCTGACCCCGTGAGAAGGCAACGCTCTGGGGGGTCTCACTTCCCTCTCAACCCCTCTGTCCTCTCCCTGTAACTCCACGTGTTTGGATCAGTGGAAAATTTAGTTCCAACTTATCAAAGGATTTTTTAAAAGCAACTTCTTTTGAGGCTTGATTCATACAAAATAAAGCATACATGTCTAAACTGTAGTCTTTGATATGGCTTGTCAGATGCATAAACAGGAAACCGTCACCACGAAGAATAGCACGGATGCATTCACGGCTCCCCAAAGGTTCCTGGCTCCCCTTCGTCACACTCCCCCCACCCCTGCCCCGACCAGGGCTCTGTGGCTGTAGATTAGTTTCTATTTTCTAGCGTTTTGTGTAAGTGGAATAATACAGTCAGTATATGCTCCTTTCAGTCTGACTTCTCTCACTGAGATTCCAATGGGATCTATAAAAACAGCTATTAGAACCAGTCAGTGAGGGTAGCAAGGCTGATAGGATACCACATCAATATGCAAAGATATATTGAATTTCTTTGAACTTGAAAGTAATAACATACAGAAATTGAAACAAAAAATACTATTTACAGTAGCATAAAATAGTATGAAATACTTAGGGATAAATCTGACAACTGAAAATTATAAAATATAGATGAGAGGAATTAAAGAAAGCCTAAATAATATGAAAGATGTGCCATGTTTGTGAGTCAGAAGATTCAATATTCCTAAAATGTCAGTTTCCCCCAAATTGATCTGAGGATTCAATATGATATCAATCAAAATTTGAACAGGCTTTTTTTTTTTTTGTAATAATTGACAAGATGATTTCCATGAATCTGCATTTATGGGAGTGTGAAGATCCTAGAAGATACCAAAAAACTGAGAAAGAGAAACAAATTGCAGGCCTAACACTCCTTGGTTTCAAGACTAATTATAAAGTTACACTATCAAAGCTGTGTGGTTTTGGTGTCCAGGTAGACAGATAAATCAATTGAACAGAATAGAGAGTGCAGAAATAGACACACACATATACAGATAATTGATTTTCAACTAAGGTACAAAAGCAATTCAGTACAGAAAGGATAGTTATTTTAAAATGGCACCAGAAAAAATCTGGGTATCCATATGCCAGAAGGGAACTCAATCCATACCTCACATCACAAAGATGAACTCAAAATAGGTACACACCTAAGTGTAAAATATAAAATGATAAAACTTCAAGAAGAAGACATAAGACAAAACCTTCATGACCCTGGATTAAGTGAAGATTTCTTTATATACATCATAAAAACACAAATGTAAATGAAAGAACTGATAATTTGGCTTCATCTTTAGAGGTTCTGTTTTTCAAAAATTTCTTTCAGGCAATGAAAGGTCAAGCCACAACCTGGTAGAAAAACACACATCTGATAAAGAACTTGACTCCAGGACACAAAAAGAATCCTTGAAGATGCACAAATGGAAAATGGGTAGTTTCTCAAAAGGTTGTATGTGTTCCCACCATGTGGTTGGGTCAGTTCCGCGTCTCGGTATCTACCCCAAATTAAAAAATCATATGACCAGACTTGGATATGAATGTTTGCCGCATTTGTAATAATCCCCAAAGTGGGAGTCACACAAATGTCCCTCAGAGGGTGGCTGGCTAAGCCTGCCCACCGTGTCATGGGCCCATGACACCGCTCAGCAAAGGACAGGGACGAGCTCCTGACGCACACAACGCCTGGAGGGATCGCTAAATCGTCATGCTGCGTGAAAAATCGTCATGCTGCGTCATGCTTCCATGCTGGACAGAAGGTAAGTCCTTTATGATTTCATTCAGATAAAATGCTGAAAAGTGTGAGCTAGTCTACAGTGATGCAGACACAGAAAGTAGACGTCGACACCGCGGGGAGGCGGGGGAAGGCTTACAAAGGAGCATGAGGACGCTCCGGGCGATGATGTGTGCGCTGTGTTCATGGCAGTGATGGCTTCACGGTGCCTGTTTATGTGAAAGCTCGTCACATTGTCACTTTAAATATGTACATGCGGATCCATGTACGTCAGTGATAAACTTCAATAAAAAAAAAACCACGTCCAAAAAACACCCCAACGCAGAGAAATGCCTGTAGACAACCTCAGCGAGGCTGTGTGTGCCTCTCATCCAGCCCAGCGTCCAACGGGCGTGCGCCTAGCAAATGTTACTTTGCCTTCCGTCTTCTTCTCCACCCGTGATAAAAACTCAGAGTGCGTAGAACTAGCTACATCATCAGCTGACATGTCTCCTGTGTGGCTGATGGCGGGGCAGGGTTTTGTACAAAGACACAGAGCCCACGATGCTGAAACATTCAAACGCTTCCATGTTATTTGGAACAAGGTGTGCTTGTCACAGACTGGTAGTTAAACACTGAAGTTCCTGTCCGAGTGAAATGTACCCACATAAGGTTTTAGCGGCGTGGGCACATTTGTGGGAGTCCATGGGGAGGGTCTCAGCCCATGAAGTATTTATGGAGACTCACCCGAGGTCCCCGTGAGGGCTGCTGACGCGAGGATGACGGCCAGGACCCCCTGCGCGGACCGGTCTCTCTGCTCTGTTGTCCGTGGTGACTCTGCTCTGTCTGCCTGCCCGCCGCCCCCCTGCCCCCCCAGGCAGCCCTGGACTTGCCTCCATGTAGCCCCTACTCTTTTCTGTCCCCTTCTTTCTCTCCATCCCTGTCACCGTGTCTGTGATCTCCAGGCCGGGTCGCCTTTGAAGGATATATTCATTTCATCATTTCCAGAGTCCCCTCCTCCACTGGTGACACTGGAGGTGCTGAGAGCCTGCCCAGTGAGCCGCATCCTGGAGGGGGCTCGGAGGAAAAGGATCGTCCTTGGACCCACTTGCAGGAAACAGTGTCACATTTGACTGCTCTGAACAGGGTGAGACAGGACGCAAAATGTACAGGCACATGTGGGTCTGTTTGTGAGACTTGTGCTGGGAGGTCGTCCAGTCGTGACCAGACCACAGTCTGGATGAGGTCACCTGCACGAATCTCCAGTGTTTGCAGATGGAGCTCCAGCAGGGTGGGGGGTGGGTTTCCTGGGGCGGGGAGCCATCCTCTCCTGGAAACTGGCTGTGCTGTGGACAAAACCACAGGAGGGGGACCTTCAGGTGGGCCCCCACATCAGCTCCCAGGTGCTTTCATCTTCTCTCACCCCATTAGGTCAGGCGGAGGGGCGGCGGTCTGACTGTGGGTGACTTAAACCTTTGAGATGGCTTTCATAAGCTAAAGAACCAAGTGGAATGGCCCGTGAGCCCCCAAAAGAACCGTCAGCAGATTGAATCTTAGTTGGTGTCTGGCTCACTTGCTGTCAACCTGCAGTGAGCCTGGTTTCAGGGGGCAGAAAGAGTTCTCTCCTTTCTCCTCCCAGAAAACACAGCTGAGAACTTCCCGGGAAACGGCACTGCTCCCATCTGCCAGGAAGCACATCTCTGAGCAGGAGGGACCAGAAATCAGAGTCAGAACCAGAAATAATCTCCGCTGATGTGTGGCGCTAACCCCGTGCTCACATGTGCTCCCAGGGAACTCGAAACTCTTCTGTGAAAGATGACAAGATGAGGTAATAATGCCACAAAAATATGTGGTAGACTTCCCCCAATGATCTTCTTTGAAGTGACGTTTACACAACCTGGATGAGCATCTTTGGGGTCATCTACACGCAGTGAAGACGGCAGCTTACCTGAGTGCCCCAGTGTTAATGGACTCTGACGTTAATTACACGGTCATCTCTTGGATTAATGGCTCCTAAATACTGCCTTAAATCACCACATAAAATTGTGCCTTGACCACATAAAATTCCCCTGCAGTAAGTACTGCTCAGGTAGAAGGCTGTTCTATTATTTTTTTAAGTTGAAATACATTAAGTTAATTTACAATGTTGTTTAGTTTCAAGTGAATAGCAAGGTGACTCAGTTATACATACACATATATGCTTTCTTTTCAGATTACTTTCCCTTATAGGTTATTACGTGATAGTGAGTATAGTTCCCTGTGCTATACAGTAGGTCCTTGTTATTTACCTACTTTATAGAATGCTGTTCTTTATAGGGAATTTCCTGAATTCTGTAGTGACTTACCATTCTTGTGTTTAATTTTTATTTTATATTGGAGTAGAGTTGATTAACTGGAGAAGGCAATGGCATCCCACTCCAGTACTCTTGCCTGGAAAATCCCATGGACTGAGGAGCCTGGTAGGCTGCAGTCCATGGGGTCGCGAAGAGTCAGACATGACTGAGCGACTTCACTTGCACTTTTTACTTTCACACATTGGAGAAGGAAATGGCAGCCCACTCCAGTGTCCTTGTCTTGAGAATCCCAAGGACGGGGGAGCCTGGTGGGCTGCCGTCTATGGGGTCGCACAGGGTCGGACACGACCGAAGCGACTTAGCAGCAGCAGCAGAGTTGATTAACAATGTTAAGTTAGTTTCAGGTGTACAACAAAGTGATTCAATTATATGTAATACATGTATCTATTCTTTTTCAAATTCTTTTCCCCTTTAGGTTACTACAGAGTATTGAGGAGAGTTCCCTGTGCGGTACAGTAGGTCCTCGTTGGTTACCTGTTTAAAATACAGCAGTGTGTATTCACCAGCCCCAAATCTGCCATTCTTAATCTAATATTCACAGCCGTGTATTCTTGGGTTTCCCCCACGTCGCATCGTTAGCAGTTCTCAGTAAAAGGCCTGCTGTTCCCAGGTTCCTGGACCACAACCTCCAGGAGGGCAGAAATGGGGCCTTCCCCATCAGAGCACCACAGCAGGTGCTTGGCACACACATGTTGAATCAATGATGAGACATCTCATCAGTAGGGGTCCAAGAGGATCCCCTGAGGATGGACCCTGACCGGCGGGGTGTGCAGCTGAGTCCTCTTGGGCCTGTCTCAGCTGGCTGGCTCCTCCCTGGATGGCGGGTTTCCCTGGGGTCTGGCCTCATCCTCCTGGGGAAGCTGGCCGGGAGCACGTGGTCTGGCCCAGAGTCGCGTGGGAGCTGCTGGCAGAGGACCAGCCCGCCCCCCCCCCCCCTCAGGTCAGCAGCTGGCACCTCCTTGGTGACTTGGAAGCAGATGAGGGCGACCTTGCTGAGCGAGCTGGGATCAGGCTTTGCACGTGTAAGTGTTCAGACTTAGTGCAGAGCAGGGTGTTTGTAGTGTGGTCTGGACCTGGCTTTGCACATGTAAGTGTTCAGACTTAGTGCAGGGCAGGGTGTTTGCTGAACCACAGCTACTGGGAATACTTTGGTTCCTGCATTTGACTCTTGAGCTCGCGTATCTGTGGAATCACACTCTCAGGGCTTGGAGTTAGGAAAGAAGGCATCCTGAGACCTCCCTCCTCCTGGTTCTGACTCGCTGTTGACACGGCCCTGGCAGAGCTGCCCCCAGACCCCAGCATGGGCTGCCATGACCCCCTGGGCGCAGGTTTGCCTGGGAAGGTCCCAGGGACAGGCAGATGGTGGGATCAGTAGAGGCTGTTTGCCTGCATTGCTGGCTCAGGGGCCTGAGCCAGGGGTGCAGCCTGGGCTCCCCCCCAGGTGAGCGGCCAGAGGATATATGGGGGTGGTCTGCAGGGGGTGCGCTTTGGGAGGAGGGCCTATGTCAGTCAGCACCTGTCTGCGCAGGTGGTTGGCACTTTTTTTATCAGAGGATAGAGCTGAGTGACCAGCCTTGATCTAAGCTCGGGCCCCTTTCTCAGGCTCCCAAGTGAAGCCAGGGGGCGAGGCAGTTGGAGGATCACAGAGGATTCCAGGCGGGGCAGGGTGGAGTGGGGAAGGGGTGACAGGGGCAAAGAGGGGGTGGGACCACCGCAGCCTCTGAAGAACCCCCTGTAATCCACAGGCCAGATGACCACGCACTCACAAAGATGTTAACAGAGGTGAATATTATTTCCTGGGGTTCATATTATTTATAGGACATTTAAAATTACCAACTGTAAAAACCATGCAGGCTTTGTAACCCAGATTTACTTGTCATGGCCACAAACAGGCCACAGACAAGGAAGATTTCCAAACTCGGTGAATTCTACTGGGAAGAAAAACGCTTGCATTCATACAAGAAGCAGTGGGCCAAAAGTGGCAGGGAACAGTAAAAAGTGAAGCGCCCGACGTTCTCTGTTTTCTGCCTGTGTTCTTTGGTGAAATAACTCACGGATGTTTAGAGAGAAAGGAGATGGTGTGTGTGAGAGAGAGAAACAGACAGAGACAGACAGCGAGACAGAGACAGACAGCGAGACAGACAGAGAGACAGAGAGACGCAGAGACAGTCAGAGTGGCACAGAGAGATGTGAGAGAGACGGAGAGGCAGACGGAGACACAGAGGGACAAAGGGACACAGAGACAGACAGACTCGCCGCGGAGAGGAGAGGCGTTGCTGATGGAGGGTCGGCCGCGCCGTCAGCTCTGATACCGGTGGAAGCGGGCTTCCTGCCCCGGCTGCTCCCGTCGCTGTAGCGCTAGCCTTGGGACCTGCGTCCTCGGCCGCGGGCGGGAGGCGCGCAGAGTGGCCTGGGGGGAGCGGCTCCTGCAGCCGCAGGCTGGGTTCTCCCGACCGGGCTCGGGTGGAGACGGCCCCAGCCGTCAGACAGAAGGCCCCGCGCGCTCAGGCTTCCTGAGGAGCCGCGGGAAGGCGGCAGGCGGAGGCGGGCCCGGCGCGCGGCGGAACCGTGCGGCGCGCGCCCTCTAGCGACGGGACGCGGCACAGTCCGCCGCGTCGGGCGCTCCGGCCGCCGCCCCGGCGACGAGGCCCGGCGCGTGAGGAGACTGGGACACGGTCGCCGCCCTGCTCAGCACGCGCGCCTGAGGGCACACGGGGAACGCGCGCGTGAGGGGCGCACCGGAAGTCTGGAGAGGCTTTCTTGCTTTTTGAGACGCGGGCGTGCAGCCCTTTGACCGCGGGTGAGCTGAGGGTGGGCGCCTCTGAAGACGGCAAGGCTCCCCGTGAAAGGCTGGGCCGCCCTCTGCGCCGGGCCCCCCGCCGGCCTTGATGGCGGACGGGTCACATCGTCGTCACCGGAACAGGCGTCGGGAGGTGGAAGGCGCTTCTGGGAACCGAGGCTGAGGTGCCCCCTCCAGGGGGACCGCGTCCCCGAGAGCCCGGGGGTCAGGTCTCGAGGTCGGGGGCAGCGGCTGTGTCCCTGGGCCCGCCACCTCTCAGAGGGCAGGGCGGGACAGCCACAGGCGGGCGGGCACAGGGCGGCAGGCGGACAGGACCGCGTGCGCTGCTGCCCTCAGCTTTCCCTCTCCTGGGCCGTTTGGAAACTTCCAACAATGGACAGCCAGCACCTAGATATGCTTCTCGTAGACTCAGCTGTGGCCTTGGGCACAGCCGTTTTCTCTCTGTCCGTTTCTCTCTCCCTGTCATGTGTGTTACGTACGTGTCTTCCTGAGCATCTCTGTCATCTGTCTGTCTGTATCTGTCCATATCTGTCATCTGTCTTTATCAATCGCCTATCATTTGTCTGTCTTTCATCTATCATCTATCCCCATCTGTATCTATCACCTGCCTATCTTTATCAGCTATCTGTATCTACTGTCTCTCATCTATCTTTACCGATCATCTGTCCTCTTTATCATCTCTCTGTCTGTCCGTACCTGACTTTCTGAACAGTAGTAACTTGTGGATGTTCTGACACCTCACCTCTGAGAGCAACAGGCTGTATCACCTAATAAGGCTGGGATTCCCCGTGACCACAGGAACGTCATTGCGCTTGAGAAAGTTACTGACAACTTTCTGGTATCATCTAAGAACATGGGCTGCAGGTTTTCATACCTTAAACCGAGACTCTCTTTATGTCTCCAAGTGGACCTGCTCAGGAGATATCAGTAACCCTCACACGCATTAGGAAGGCCTCTGCTAAATAACCAGAATATCAAATGTCGGAAGGACGTGCAGAAAGGGAACCCTTGGGCGCTGTTGGTGGGAATGTAAACAGTGCAGCCATTTCTATAGCCATTTACTATGGAAAACAGTACGGGGGGTCCTCAAAAAATTGAAAATAGGATTACTGTGTGATACAGTCATTCCACTTCTGGATGTGTAATCACAAGGACTGAAATTCCAGAGGTGTCTGGGTTCCCCAGTGTCCACCGAGGACGAATGGAAAAACAGTTCCTTCCATTGTATTTACAAACTCACAGTGGGATATTATCCAGCCATCAAAACGAAGGAGATTCTGACACCTGCTGCATGTGGATGAACCTTGGGGACACGACGCTGAGTGAAATAAGCCGGCACAGAAGGAAACACTGCCTGGTTTCACTCATATCAAGTCCTTAGTCAGACTCAGAGACAGAAGGTAGAAGGGGGTGCGTGCCAGCGGGGGAGGGCTAAACAGGGAATTGCATTGTTTAGTCGATCAGTCATGCCCAACTCTTTGCGAGCCCATGAACTGCAGCCCATCAGGCTCCTCTGTCTACAGGATTTCCCAGGCAAGAACACTAGAGTGGGTTGCCATTTTCTTCTCCAGGGGATCTTCTTGACCCACAGATGGAACCCTTGTCACCTGCTTGGCAGGCAGATTCTTTACCCCTAAGCCACCTGGGAAGCCCAAGCAGGGAGCATTGAGTGTGAAATTTCAGTTTTGCAGGATGGAAATGTTCTAGAGGTTTCTTGCACGACAATGTAAACATAGTTAACACTTCTGCACTGTACACTTAGAAATGCTGAAGATGGCAGATTTTATGTGTTTTTTAACTACCTGTTTTTGAAAAGCCCACGTTGGCATCCAGAAGCCCCCAGCTTTGGACCGTAAAACTGCCTCTGATAGCTGTCACGGTTCACATTCCTGATCTCAGTGTCCTCTTGCGTAAAGTAGGTACAGAAATCTCGGCCCCAAGCTCACGAAGCTGGCGAGTTGAGAGATCTCGGAGCATACCCACTCTGGGGAAGTGTGTACATCACAGGTTGGTACCCTGTGACCACATGCTCCTCCCGACTCCTCCATCTGAGGGGCACAGGTGTTCTGGGGTGATCTTATTTAGATGAGAGGGCCATTAAGCACCACATGGCATTTTTCCAGACCTCAGAGTCTAGAAAATCCTGATTTTAAAATTTTCAGTGGAGCTGCTGTGAGCATCGTCCTGTCGACTCAGACCCCGGATGGAGGGGATGTCAGCATAGCTTCAAATCAAGAGCAGCCTCAGCATTCTGGAAAAAACCAAGCACTTGTTTGAATAAACGGCTTTACCGAGAACACCCTGCTGCATCACTCACCAGGGCTGGGTGCTTCCGGGAGCCCCTGGGGCTGCATCAGACAGTCCTTCAGGATGCTGAAAGGGGGCGAGCATCCCCACGAGTCCGCTGCAGTCTCTGGGCTCTGAGCGGTCAGGCTACCAGAACATGCGGTCCTGACTCCAGGCTGCGGTCTGCCTATTCACTGTGGAGGATGTAGACAGAATCACGACAAGCCAGCTCTCGTCTTTGTTTCTAGAAGGTGCAACTAAGTTCACTGTTGTAGACTGCTGATTCTGTCTCCTTTTGCATTGCTCCTGGGTGGATCAGTGGACACCTGATAAGTGGTGCTTCCCGTCTTATATTGACCAAAAAACCAAGATGAAGTTGATACATATTTAGAGTCAGCAGAGGTGGCTATTTTTAGTTAGATGTGGGTGGATATATGCATGCATGCCTGCCAAGTTGCTTCAGCCCTGTCTGACTCTCTGTGACCCCAGAGACTATAGCCCACCAGTCTCCTCTGTCCATGGGGTTCTCCAGGCAAGAATACTGGAGTGGGTTGCCATCCCCTCCTCCAGGGGATCTTCCCAACCCAGGGATCGAACCCGTGTCTCTTATGTCTCCTGCGTTGGCAGGTGGGTTCTTTACCACTAGCTCCCATATAGGGAAAGGGAAGCCCATACAGGTATATAGACATAGGTATATACATAGATAGCGCTCTCTCTCTCTCTCTATATATATATATATACACACACACACACAGATATACACCTATATACTCATATGTATATGAAATATGAAGATGTATCTGTTCAGTTCAGTCACTCAGTCTTGTCTGACTCTGCGACCCCATGGACTGCAGCACACCAGGCCTCCCTGTCCATCACCAGCTCCTGGAGTTTACTCAAACTCATATCCATTGAGTCGGTGATGCCACCCAACCATCTCATCCTCTGTCGTACCCTTCTCCTCCTGCCTTCAGTCTTTTCCAGCATCAGGGTCTTTTCAGATGAGTTAGTTCTTCGCATCAGGTGGCCGAAGTATTGAAGTTTCAGCTTCAGCATCAGTCCTTTCAATGAATATTCAGGACTGATTTCCTTTAGGATGGACTGGTTGGATCTCCTTGCAGTCCAAGGGACTCTCAAGAGTCTTCTCCAACACCACAGTTCAAAAGCATCAATTCTTTGGTGCTCAGCTTTCTGTATGGTCCAACTCTCACATCCATACATGATTACTGGCAAAACCATAGCTTTGACTAGATGGAGCTTTGCTGGCAAAGTAATGTCTCTACTTTTTAATATGCTGTCTAGGTTGGTCATCACTTTTCTTCCAAGGAGCAAGTGTCTTTTAATTTCATGGCTGCAGTCAGCATCTGCAGTGATTTTGGAGCCCAGAAAAATAAAGTCTGCCACTGTTTCCACTGTTTCCCCATCTATCTCCCATGAAGTGATGGTACCAGATGCCATGATCTTCATTTTCTGAATGTTGAGTTTTAAGCCAACTTTTTCACTCTCCTCTTTCACTTTCATCAAGAGGCTCTTTAGTTCCTCTTTGCTTTCTGCCATAAGGGTGGTGTCATCTGCATATCCGAGGTTATTGATATTTCTCCCAGCAATCTTGATCCCAGCTTGTGCTTCCTCCATCCCAGCGTTTCTCATGATGTACTCTGCATATAGGTTAAATAAGCACGGTGACAGTATACAACCTTAACGTACTCCTTTCCCTATTTGGAACCAGTCTATTGTTCCATGTCTAGTTCTAACTGTTGCTTTCTGACCTGCATACGGATTTCTCAAGAGGCAGGTCAGGTGGTTTGGTTTCCTGTCTCTTTCAGAATTTTCCACAGTTTGTTGTGATCCACACAGTCAAAGGCTTTGACATAGTCAATAAAGCAGATGTTTTTCTGAAACTCTCTTGCTTTCTCGATGATCCAATGGATGTTGGCAATTTGACCTCTGGTTCCTCTGCCTTTTCTAAATCCAGCTTGAACATCTGGAAGTTCATGTTTCAAATGCCATTGAAGCCTGGCTTGGAGAATTTTGAGCATTACTTTGCTAGTGTGTGAGATGAGTGCAATTGTATGGTAGTTTGAGCATTCTTTGGCATTGCTGTTCTTTGGTGTTGGAATGAAAATTGACCTTTTCCAGTCCTGTGGCCACTGCCGAGTTTTCCAAATTTGCTGGCATACAGCACTTTTACAGCATCATCTCTTAGGATTTGAAATAGCTCAACTGAAATTCCCTCACCTCCACTAAATTTGTTTGTAGTGATGCTTCCTATGCACATCTTGACTTCACACTCCAGGATGTCTGGCTATGGGTTGGTGATCACACCATTATGATTATCTGGGTCGTGAAGATCTTTTTTGTATAGTTTGTCTGTGTATTCTTGCCACCTCTTCTTAATATCTTCTGCTTCTATTCAGTCCATACCATTTCTGTCCTTTATGAGCCCATCTTTGCATGAAATATTTCCTTGACATCTCTAATTTTCTGGAAGAGATCTGTAGTTTTCCCCATTCTATTGTTTTCCTCTGTTTCTTTGCATTGATCACTAAGGAAGGCTTTCTTATCTCTCCTTGCTATTCTTTGGAACTCTGCATTCAAATGGGAATATCTTTCTTTTTCTCCTTTGCCTTTCGCTTCTCTTCTTTTCACAGCTATTTGTAAGGCCATTTTGCTTTTTTGCATTTCTTTTTCTTGGGGATGGTCTTGATCCCTGTCTCCTGTATCAAGTCACAAACCTCCATCCATAGTTCTTCAGGCACTCTGTCTATCAGATCTAATCCCTCTAATCTATTTGTCTCTTCTACTGTATAATCGTAAGGAATTTGATTTAGGTCATACCTGAATGGTCTAGTGGTTTTCCTTACTTTCTTCAATTTAATCTGAATTTGGCAATAAGGAGTTCATGATCTGAGCCACAGTCAGCTCCAGCTCTTGTTCTTGCTGACTGTATAGAGCTTCTCCATTTTTGACTGCAAAGAATATAATCAATCTGATTTTGGTGTTGACCATCTGGTGATGTCCATGTGTAGAGTCTTCTCTTGTGTTGTTGGAAGAGGGTGTTTGCTATGACCAGTGTGTCCTCTTGGCAAAACTCTATTAGCTTTTGCCCTGCTTCATTCTGTATTCCAAGGCCAAATTTGCCTGTTACTCCAGCTATTTCTTGACTTGCTACTTTTGCATTCCAATTCCCTATAATGAAACGAATATCTTTTTTGGATGTTAGTTCTAGAAGGTCTTATAGGTCTTCATAGAACCATTCAGCTTCAACTTCTTCAGCATTACTGGTCAGGGCATACACTTAGATTACTGTGATATTGAATGGTTTGCCTTGGAAACAAAGAGGTCATTCTGTTGTTTTTGAGACTGCACCCAAGTGCTGCGTTTCAGACTCCTTTGTTGGCTGTGATGGCTACTCCATTTCTTCTAAGGGATTTCTGCCCACAGTAGTGGATATAATGGTCATCTGAGTTAAATTCACCCAACCCAGTCCATTTTAGTTCTCTGACTCCTAAAATGTTGACGTTCACTCTTGCCGTCTCCTGTTTGACCACTTCCAATTTGCCTTGATTCATGGACCTAACATTCCAGGTTCCTATGCAATATTGCTCTTTACAGCATTGGACTTTGCTTCTATCACCAGGCACATCCACAGCTGGGTGTTGCTTTTGCTTTGGCTGCATCTCTTCATTCTTTCTGGAGTTATTTCTCCACTGATCTCCAGTAGCATATTGGGCACCTACCAACCTGGGGTGTTCATCTTTCAGTGTCCTATCTTTTTGCCTCTTCATACTGTTCATGGGATTCTCAAGGCAAGAATACTGAAGTGGTTTGCCATTTCCTTCTCCAGTGGACCACATTCTGTCAGAACTCTCCACCATGACCCGCCCGTCTTGGGTGGCCCTACACAGCATGGTTCATAGTTTCATTGATTTAGACAAGTCTGTGGTCCATGTGATCATTTGATTAGTTTATTGTGATTGTGGTTTTCATTCTGACTGCCCTCTGATAGATAAGGATAAGAGGCTTATGGAAGCTTTCTGATGGGAGAGACTGACTGAGGGGGAAGCTGGGTCTTGTTCTGATGGGCAGGGCCATGCTGTAATCAGTAATCCAATTTTCTGTTGAAGGTTGGGTCTGTGTTCCCTCCCTGCTGTTTACCTGGGGCCAAACTATGGTGGAGGTGATGAAGATAATGGCGACCTCCCTGAAAAGGTCCCATGCACACACGGCCACACTCAGTGCCCCAGCCCTGCAGCAAGGCCACCGCTGACCTGTGCCTCCACCGGAGACTCCCGGACACTCACGGGCAAGTCTGGGTCAGTCTCTTGTGGGCTCACTGCTCCTTTCTCCTGGGTCCTGGTGCACAAGCTTCTGTTTGAAGATATATAGGGAGGTATATATATGGAGAGAGATATAGGTAAGTAGGTACATATAGGTATAACCTATATCACACTCCATGTATACACTTATATACCTATATCTGTAGACAAATATGTATATATTTTTTTCCACTTCCACACTGGCTGCATTTTGTACATATCCTCCAAGTATAAGAACTTCATGGAAGTTTTTGCAAGTAGGATTTTTCTGTAGCCTGCTGTCATTTATTTTCTCCTGCAGGTCACCATCCTTTCTGGGTGTCATACTGGAGAGAATTATTTTCCTCCCACTCAAGATTTCTGGAATATTTCCTCCGGGAGTTTCACTTCTGTCTGCCTATCTTTGATTTCTCCGTATCTTCTTCACCTGCATCTCCATGTGCCTGAATCATTGCTTTATTCATTTCCTATGTTAAAGTGTTATGCCTTAAACTATTTATAATATACATTTATTTATTTATGTGCTTATTAATATATTTGTTTAAAGTTTTAAATTATCCCATAAGAGTTTCCATAGATGGAACAGGCTCACCAGGGTACTCACGCCATTTGAAAGTTGCCTGGTTTTGAGGGGTACCGGTGGACCCTGGAGAAGTGTTGTCCATGTGAGGATCACGCAAGTTTCCCTCTGGCTCCAGGCTGCGTGGGGCTCCTTAGGAGGAAAGCTGGAGATGGGCCTGAGAATTGTCCACATTCAGACATGAGTTTAATACAATGGTCTTGTTTGTATCGTGTTTGAGATCAGAGTCACAGGCATTTCAGAAGTTATAATCCCTATTTTTTGTTCTCACAGATTTTAGCTTATTATAACTTGAAATTTTATAGAGGCTTTACCAGTAAAAGCATTATTAAAGATTATATTTTAAGTAAAATTTTTCAGGATGGAGGGGACTCAAAAATAATTCTTGGTGGAGTTGACCGTCTTGCTCTATGTGACTGCCCGGGAGGAGAGTTCAGATGCTCTCATGTGGACAAAATAGGAACCTGTTCAGTGGACTTGGAAAACCTGGAGATTTAGTCGTTATCTTGTCTCTGCCATCTCTGGGTTTTTCCTATTATTTAAGGCCCAATAATGATATATATATGTGTGTGTGTTTTATGAATACATAGGCTTTGTTATGAATATGTAATTTTAAATGAGATAACTTTTATTTAGCTTTCTTTGGTCTTTTAAAATCAGGTTTTAAAAACTCAGAAGAGTTGCATGTGATACAGAAGTAAATGGCTCCCCATGCCCTTTTCAGCCTCTCCCTCGTCTCCCTGGACCTAATGATGCCTTTCGCATCCTTCCAGCTTCCCAGGGGAGGCGTGAGCAGAGACCCAAATACAGATGAGGACGCAGGTGGTGACGCACACACACACGGGCAGGCTCTCTTTTCTGCAGAGTTGTGCTGCCGAGCATAGGTGTGCACACGCATGAAGGTGTGTACACAGATGAGTGTGTAGGCATGTGTGCATGCACGTGTGTGTGCGTGGTGTGCATACACACTTCTATACGGAAGTGAAGAATGATTCCGGGGCGCCACCGGAGCTCGGCTGGGGCGGTGGCCACGGGCGAAGGCTCCGTGGAGGCTCGGGGGGCGTGTCCCTGGGAGGGGCGGGGAGTGTGGTGGGAAGAGTGAGGCGGGGTTCGGGTCTGGGCTCTGACTCCTGTGCCCATGGCGGGCCGTGGCTGAATGCCCGGTGCCTGGGTGGGCCGCTGGGCTCCTGGCCGGTCTGCGGTTGAGCGCTGGCGCCACCTATTGGCCAGAGGCTCCTCTCCCAGAGCCGGCTGCGTGGCGTGTGAGCACGTGGCCCCGGAACTGCCTGACCAGGGGCCCTGGTTTGGGGGGCGCTGCCCCACAATACGGGAGCACTTTAAAACCTGCTGTCCATACAGGCTTTGTTTTCTGCTTTTGTTCCGGTAAAAGTTATATATCATCACTGCAGACAATTTGGAAAAAATACGAATGTAAAAAGAGGAGGGTCATCACCCACAGGGACACCTGCCAAATACGACTGGAGACATCGGTGTGTCTTCTTTAGTATCGGGTCCAAACATGCGTGAATGAGTGTGAATAGCTCTGTCCACTGTCTGCTGCTTGCTCTGCCCTGACTGTCAGTGAACGCTTCCCTGGGGGCTCAGATGGTAAAGGATCTGCCTGCAATGTGGGAGACCTGGGTTCGATTCCTGGGTTGGGAAGATCTCCTGGAGAAGGCAAAGGCTACCCACTCCAGTATTCTGGCTTGGAGGATCCCATGGACTATATAGTCCACGGGGTAGCCAAGAGTCGGACAGGACTGAGCGACGTTCACTTCGCTTGTTTGTCGGTTAAAAAGGAAATCTCTCACTTTGCACTGAAAATGCTGCCTTTTATCCAACTCCTCCTACTTTTAGGGGAGATTCTAGCCGATCCTGTAGAGCTGCCGAGGCGGGATCACCCTCTTCAGGCCGATCGTTGATAAGAGACTTGTAACGACACAGATGCTGACATCGTCACATCTCTCTGCAGAACAGGAGGAGAATGGCGTTCGGCACCTGCCCCGCGGTGCCTGGAGCCCTGGCCCTGTGGCTCTGTCGCTCACACTTGCACTGTCTGTCCCTGTGAGTTGGTGGGGTCGGTGGTGGACACATCCGAGTGGACTCCGGCCACTCCAGAGCCGGCGGAAGGGCCGGAGGAGTGAGAAAGGCCAGCGGGTCAGAAGATGGCTCTCGAGGTCCGACCTGGGCCGTGGGCTTGCAGAGGGTTTTTCTGTTAAGCTGTAGATGATCCCAGGATTAGACTGTTTGCTTGTCACAAGTCTTCAAACTTGTGCTCCTGGCCCCTAATTTATTTATCGTTTGGACCCCGGGGCCTGGCCCCTGGGGAGGAAGGACAGGGTTTGCCTCCCCCACACCTCGCATCCTTAGCTCCCTCTGGGAGCAAGGGTCTGGCTGCCGCTGGGATTCAACATCTGGGTGGGAACTGCAGGTTCCGCACACGGTCCCTTCATTCTGGACTCACAGGCCCTAATGCAGGTCGGTTAAATCTCTGCATTCAGTTTTTCTAAAAGTGAGATCTCTCCAATTGCCACCAGATGTCAGTAAAATCCCTCCTAAAATAAATGTGTGGCGGGCAGGTTGATGAGAAGCCACAGCGATGCACCTGCTGGTAACACGTTTCGCTCTATCCGCCTCCACACTCCCGCCACCTCTCTTCCCATCCTGGGGGTGCAGTTCATGGTGTTTTTCCCTGGCTCCCCACTCCCTGCCCTGACCTTTCACAGCACTATTTTGGGGAGTCAACCGTGAAAGATCAGAGTAGTGCTGACGCAGAGACAAGCCAGCAGAACTGTGACCGTGGCTAGGGCTCCCGAGGCCACTCTTGGGGGGACCTGTGGCCCCAGGCTGGGGCCTCCATGTATCACACCCAGGAGCAGCCGGTGGGCCTGGGTGTGGGCTCCGAGAACAGGGCCGGCCGGGGTCAGTGTAACAGGTCTGGACGCCCTTCGCCGCTGAGCAAACACCCTGGGGATGTCGCCGGCAGCAAAAGCCCCGGAAGCACCAGCTTAATGGACGGCCAGCTGCTAAGATGCAGGGTCACCCGCTGCGCCAGGCCGGCTCTTCTGCGCACCCGTCACACCTGGGGACAGTGGAGGTGACTGTGGCTGGCATGCTCTCGGGTCGCCCTCAGACCTTGGCTCGGGTTTCAGGCACTGAGTTGGAAGCTGGCAGAGGCGGGGAGTGGGGAGTGGGAGGTGATGCTTCCACGTGACCTGCACTGACGTCCGGGGCTGATCCACGTCAGCCTGAGCTGATGCGGATGAAGGAGCATCTTGGGTCCTAAGTCCGGGGGGCCGCTTCCTCTGCTTGTTCCAGACCTTGGCTTCCTGTGCCCACATCCTCGAGGCACCTCGATGGAACAATAAATACTAGCAACTAACTAGTAATGGATCAGCTTTAGGAAATTGCAAGGCCTAAGATCTGACTCAGGGATGTCGCGGGCAGTACGGTGGCTAGGATTCTGAGCTCCCAATGCAGGGGGTGTGTTCCATCCCTGGTGAGGGAACCAGATTGCACATGCTGTAGCTAAAGCCCCTGTGTGCTGTAGCTGAGACCTGCTGCAGCCAGGTAGGCTTTTTCCAGTTCAGTCACTCAGTCGTGTCCGGCTCTTTGCAACCCATGGACTGCACCACGCCAGGCGTCCCTGTCCATCACCAACTTCCGGAGCTTGCTTAAACTCATGTCCGTTGGGCCGGTGATACCATCCAACTGTCTCATCCTCTGTCATCCCCTTCTCCTCCTGCCTCCGATCTTTCCCAGCATCAGGGTCTTTTACAGTGAGTCAGTTCTTCCATCAGGTGGCCAAAGTATTGGAGCTTCAGGTGGCCAAAGTATTGGAGCTTCAGCTTCAGCATCAGTCCTTCCAGAGAGTATTCAGGGTCGTTTTCCTTTAGGATTGAGTGGTTTGATCTACTTGCAGTCCAAGAAACTCTCAAGAGTCTTCTCCAACACCACAGTTCAAAAGCATCAATTCTTCGGTGCTCAACCTTTATGGTCCAACTCACACATCCATACATGACTAATGGAAAGATCATAGCTTTGACTAGATGGATCTTTGTTGGCAAAGTGATATCTCTGCTTTTTAATATGCTCTCTAGGTTGGTCATAGCTTTTCCTCCAAGGAGCAAGCATCTTTTAATTTCATGGCTGCAGTCACCATCTGCAGTGATTTTGGAGCCCAAGAAAATAAAGTCTGTCACTATTTCCATTGTTTCCCCATCTATTTATATATTTCCATTTATATATTTTTAAAAATCTGATTCTGACTCTTGAGTTCTCTCCAGTATTCTTGCCTGGAGAATTCCATGGACAGGGGAGCCTGGGGGAGGGGTTGGTTACAATCCGTGGGATCACCAAGAGTTGGATTTGGCTGAGAAGGTGGTGATGTGGGAGGGTTTAGAGGAGGCGGGATGACTCCCCTTCTGGAGGCGGGGAGGCTCTGGGGGGTGCAGAAGCCTGTGTGGGGACTGAGGGCCACCGAGGACCTGCTAGCCCCTGGCGTCCCCGGCTGTCCATTTAGTATCCAGGGTCAGGCGGCTCCTGAGGCCAGGGCCTTGCTCATCGCTGCCCAGGTCCAGGAGAGTGAACTTGGGGAGATGCTCTGTTCTGTCCAGATAGGATACGGGAGGGGAGCGTGGAGCTGCCCACCCTGATGCCCAAAGCTGGTGCCTGGAGCACCCAGCACCCACTGTGGGGACACAGCGGCGGGCCCTTCCTGCAGCCTCGGCTTCCTCTCCTGCAGCAGCTGCGGGCCAGCTCTCTGTGCCTGGGGCTGAGGTCTGACCCTGATGGCTTCCGGGGGCCAGGCTGTCCTTTCCCAGGTGCCAGCCCAGTGCTCAGCATTTCTTCCCTGTTTTTTGGATCCAGTGTGGAGAGGGATTCGTGTGTCCGCAGGGCCCCAGGATACAAAGGCCACCGTCAGGGCGAGGGCAGAAGCTCCTGGTTGGAGGGTGAGTGTTGGCTGAGGGGTGCACGGGCCGAGAGGGCCCCGATGGGACCGCCTTCTTGTTGTCGTGTTTCCAAATCTCATGCCGAGTGTTTGAGGACCCGCTCCAGGCTTGGGGAGACTTACCTGAGAGCGGGTTGTGTCACCCCTTCCTTCCTTTTGTAAATCACATTGTGATTTAAATTAACTCTAAGAATGTGTCATTTACAGAAGGAAGCATAGTATTAATAATTCCTTTTTGTGTAAAGAATGCTCATCTCCTAATAGTCTGGTTTCTGAGTTTAGGTTTTTGGCAGCCTGGGTATTCACTTCAATAACAGGTCCTCCCCACGCTGCGCAGACATCCTCACAAAATGTGGTATTTTCCGGCTCTAAACGTAAACACACAGTGCGGAGACTGGAGCCCGGCGAACAATGGAGTTAGGAGGTGAGGCAGACACTGGCTCTCAGCTCAGGAGTTTCTCGTTGCAAGTTCAACTGTTGAAAATGGTGCCTTAATAGGCACTACCTGGGGTGTGGATGAGATAATGAGGATGAAAGGCTGCGCTTCTGCATTTCCTGGCTTCTTTGTGTTGAAATTAGTAAATGCACGATCATGGCAAAATGGTTTTCTGAATTTAATTTTCACTCCTTCTATGCCCTCTGCCCGAGAGATAAGCGGAGAAGAGGTGCCTTCTTAAGAGCCTTGTTTTAAAGTTGCCTCGGCAGCTCTTGGGGGCCCTGCTGCCCTGGGGAGGGACGGGGTCTGAGGACAGATGGATGCGAGGTCTGGCTCAGGCTGGGGGGATGAAGGCTCAGGGCGGTCGGTGCTCAGCTGGGGGCTGAGGACGTGGAGCAGGTGCTGAGTCCGCCGTGAGGTGGAGCCTTGGGGGAAGGAGACTCGGGAGAGTTATAGGCAGGTGGGTGGCCAGCAGAACTCAGGGAAAGGGATGCCCGCTCCCAGACCCTCCCCCGAGGCCGCCTCTCCGTTGGGCCAGGCCCTCCCGGGCATTTGGCTGACTCGGGTTTAAAGGACAGCGGGGTTCAGCAGCAGCAGAGGGCACAGCCACTAATATGCCCACTGATTTGATTGGATCAGCCAGGTTCAGGGCCTGGGTTCGGTCCCTGGTGGGGGGACTGAGATCCCACAAGCAGCGCTGCCTAAAAAAACACAACAAAACCCAGAGCAGTCGTCCGGGGCCTGACTCAGCCTGTGCTCACCTTCAGGGCCTTCAGGGGAGCTGCTTGGGCAGCTTTTCCGGGGCGGATCAGCGTCCGGAAGGTGCCCGTCTGCCCCCGGGCGGCGAGGTCACGGGCCGTGGGGCCTGGCCTCCTCCCGGGCCCACCGGGGCCTGGCCTCTGCGTCTCCGGCCACGAGCTGTCAGGGCCCAGCTCTGCTCAGGAGCCTCTGTTTCTAGGTCAGCCCCCACCAGCGGCTCCAGGGCTGGGGCTGGGGCGGGGACCAGCCGTGCCTGGCTCCTCGTGGCAAGCCCTGGACCCGCCACCTCTGTTCCGTGGGGCTCGGCCTCCCCAGCAGGGGGCTGGGGCAGTGTGGCCGTCAGGGACTCCGCAGGAATTCAGTGACACGGCCCACGCAGCCGTTGGAGCCCGCGGGGCCCCTCTGCGGGCCGGCCGCACTCTCAGGGCTGGGCACCCCGGCTGGAGGTGTGTCTGGCTCAGCCACTAAATGTGCTAAGTGGTTCAGTCGTGTCCGACCCTCTGCGATCCCGTGGACTGTAACCTGCCAGGCTCCTCTGTCCCTGGGATTCTGCAGGCAAGAATCCTGGAGTGGGTTGCCAGGCCCTCCTCCAGGGGCTCTTCCCGACCCAGGGATTGACCCCGATCCTTCTGTCTCCTGCACTGACAGGGGGTCCTTTACCACTAGTTGCCACCACAACAATTAAATAGGAAATTCTCACCGCATGATGGCCTATTCAAGTCCTGTAGCATAGCCTGTGTATAAGTTTTTGAAGAACAATGAATTTAAAAGAAAGGTCATATACATGTAATATCCCCCCTCCCTCCCTTCTTTCTTGCTTCCTGCTGTAGGAAAAAAGACAACTTTGGGGAACTTCTTGGATTCTATGCACCTAACTCTTCTAACTTTGCATTAATATACATTTTTCTTTATATTTAATTTCTGTGACAGACAAATTGCATGCCCTTAATTGAATTAACACAAATTAGACCTGAAAGGAATTGAGGAATGAACATCTGGGATGTTTCTTGAAAGCTTTCTTATTTCTTGAAGCGCCTGGAAAAAAATCCCTCTTCCTTAACGACACCAATTAAAGACATAGCAGAGTTAATACCAGCAGCATCTTTCCAAAGCGGGGGTGATCATGATGGCTTCTGATCCTATTATTTCAGAACTCAGAAGGCAAGTATTTAAAAGCAGGACTGGTTTCAGGGAGGCACCTGGAACTGGAGGGGCAGATGGAGTCTGGTGAGTGGGGAGCTGACAGATCCTGGAGGGTGACCTAGGATGCGTCTGCCTGCCAGGGGAGGTGCGGGACTCTCGGGGCTGGGGGACCTTCCAGGACGACCGGCACATGCCGGGCTCCCCTCCCAGCCCCTTGCTTCAGTCCTTCGTCTTGTTTGCAGATGACACTTGCCCGTCTCCAGCGGCTTGTGTCCGCCCCTGAGAGCCCAGGTGCGAGTCAGCGGCTGGGCCTCTAAGCCAATGATTCCCTCAGAGGAGCAGGGCCTGGGTCCCCAGGCCTTGCCTGCCGGTCTGGGCTGCGCCCGAGGAAGCTTTCTTCTGTGCCCACACTTGAGGGTCTCCAAGTGTTCGAGGGCAGGGCGCCCTCCGTCTCTTTGGCTGCCTGTCCATCTTCCTTACGTGTTTCTGCTCTTTCACGCCCATCCCTTCATCCTGCTGTGAGACACGGGTGGCTTCTTGAAGGCGCTGGTCCTCAAGTGAGGTCTGCAGGCCAGCAAGGTTAGCAGGACCAGGGACCTTAGAAATGTGGATTCACTCCACTCAGACCCACTGAACCTGAAGAGCGTGCGGGCAGACCTCAGGCTCTGCGGTAACAAGCTCTCCAGGTGGGGTGGAAGCTCCGGAACCGCTGGTCTGGTTTCCTGACTGGTCCGATGCGAGTGAGTCAGGAGGGACCAGAAATGCCACCGTCTCAGGGTGCAGGGTGGGGCTCGGGAGGGCGCCGGGGAGGGCCTGTGCACACTCACTTGGGACCAGCCCTCCCCCATGGGAGCCTGCACATCCTCTGTGCAGGAAGGCATGTTTAGTATTAATCTCAGAAAAAATGCTCTGGGAGACCTGCTTCCCGCTACCCAGGACCTCTGGCGGCCAGCCGTGGGGCCTTCCTTCATGAGGCTGGAATTACCCTTCGTCCTCATTGGAAAATCGCACCGTCCACTCTTCTGGAGGTGGCAACGTTGAATGGAGGCAATGACTGTGACGCGTGCACCTCTGCGTTCGTGAGTGGGGGGGAGAGGGGGAACGTCTCACCCCGAGCAGAGTGGGCCAAATGCTCCATGCAGGTTGTACGTGGCCCCCGAGCGGGTCACGGCTGTGCCCTCTCCTCGCAGGGGTGACGGGGTGTCTCCTCACCCCCGAGTGGCAGTTTCACCAGCGATTCCTGTGCAGGGACCCACGAAGTTCTCTTACAAAGGAGAGCCTCCGCCTGCTTCCCTCCTCTGGTTCTCCAGGACGCTAGTTGGATAAGTGGGCTCTGGGGGCTCTGCGTGGGGCTTCCCTGGTGGCGCAGTTGGTAAAGAATCCTTCTGCAATGCAGGGGACCCTGGTTCGATTCCTGGGTCGGGAAGATCCACTGGAGAAGGGATAGGATACTCACTCCAGGATTCCTGGGCTTCCCTTGTGGCTCAGCTGGTAAGGAATCTCCCTGCATGTGCTAGACAGATCCACTGCCAGTGCGAGAACAATTCCAGGGCAAGATGGGACCCATCCCAGAGTTCTGAAGGAAGTGACAAGAATAAACAAACAAACAAAAAAGAATCTGCCTGCAGTGCGGGAGATGTGGGTTCAATCCCTGGGTTGGGAAGATCCCCTGGAGAAGGGAAAGGCTACCCACTCCAGTGTTCTGGCCTGGAGAATTCATGGGCTGTATAGTCCATGGGGTCACAAAGAATGGTCTCTGTGAATCAAGGGCACTTCAGCAGGCAGATGGGTTGCTCTCTTACCTGCCTCCTTGGCACGCACCTCCCCCCTCGCCCCCGCAATGCCCCACCATCTGCTGGATCATCTTCCCCACAAGCACAGTGAGAAAGCAAAGCTGTATGTAACCTCCGAGCTTCCTGACGACGGAGGCTGGTCTGTATAACAGGGACTTGGGAGCCCTCTGCCAGAATGTCATCTTAAAGATGTTCATGTGTTCTAATCCGTAGAAGTACATAGATCCCAATCTCCTAACCTTGGGATGGGCATGTACACACAGCTCTATTTAGAGCAGATGATCAACAAGGACCTACTGTAGGGCACAGGGAATCCTGCTCAAACCTCTGTGTAACAACCCAAATGGGGGAAGAGTTTGAAAAAGAAAAGATGTGTGTATCACATATAACTGGATCACTGCTGTACCCCTGGAACTACTCTCCAGTGTAAATACAACGGCTCACAGCACCTTGACTGCGGTGTGGTGCTTGTCTTGGCGGTGCTCGGAGCAGGTCCGATCCTTCATCCTAGCGCCGCTTCTCAAGAGGGTCCCTGGCTCCGTGGGGAGCCCCCCACTTTCCTCACCTGTCCCTCACCACGGGGCAGCATTAGTCTCTGCCTTCTTTCCCGTCCCTTGGGGATTTGCTAGAATGTGGTTCACATGAGGCTCTGTGACCTGCTCCGCCTCCCCGTACGCCGTCAGGCAATGGGAAGGAGAGAGAGACTGAAGACCCGGGCTTGGCGCCACACCAGGCTGCCGGCTGTGGGAGAGCGAGAACGAGGGCCCCCGTGGATCACACCCCCCGGCAGGCCAGCCAGGCCCGGGCAGCGGAGTCGCTGCCTCCTCTTCTCCTTTTCCACATTCCACAGGAGAGACACCCTGGGTGGGGTGGAGTGACCACAGATCCCTTCCCTGTGGTCCCCCCCTCCGGGAGGGCTGGGACCCAGAACAGTAGGCCGCCATCCGGCGCCTGGCTTATAGGAATGCGGCTCTGCACCCCAAGAAGAGGCGGGAGCCTCAGCACAGCAGCTGGACCAGGTGATTTTTCATCCATCGGAGGGGCTGTCAGCACTCACGGTCCTGGGAGAGAGTCTTTCTCCCTGTCACGGGTGAGATAAACTCCCCCCAACGCTACGGCAGCGACCAAGCTGCCAACTCCACATTTGCATTTCATAGTTTAGTTACAAATCAAAGATGTTGCCGGAAGGCTCTGGTTCGGTTTGGGAAGGTAAACTGTAGTCATTTTACTGGGGCACAGAAGGCATGCTCAATTTGAGGAGCACACACTGCTAAGACGGGGCTCAGTTCTTCAGGGGTGACCGAGGGCGGCGTGTTTGCAAACAGGTCCGTCTTCCTCCAGACGAAGCTGCCCAATTTAACCAGCTCGCTGTTAATAGGGAGCTATTGTTGGTAGGAGCATCTCACGGATGGGGGGAACTGCAACACCATCTCTAAACATCAAAGACCACAGAAGGTCCTCCGTGTCTTGCTGGGGATGCTATCGAGGGTCGCCAAGTCTTGGCCAGAGGAAGTGCAGTCTTCACGAGGGCCCCGCGGTCAGGCCAGCGGTCGATACCGGGACAAAGGAGCCCCAAGCGGGGCTTTGTCTGCTTACTGTTCAATAAAAGTGCTTTGCTGGGGGAAGACAGTGCAGCTCTCAGTTTTGAGGGCTTGATATATATGGATATTAAACTCGTCATCAGAACTGAGTGCCCACTGCTTCTGCTTCCTTTGAGAGCCAGGCAGGGTAATTGGAAAGCTGCGGCGGCCCTTGTGCTGAAGCAGCATAAATCTCTGGGGGGTGACGGGCTGACAATGGGCACCCTCCTTCGCTATCAGGGTGGCCCTTGTCTGAACTATTTATTAACCGAGATGTGAATGGGCCAACGAAGGGCCAATTTATATGTAACCACAGGAGATGTATTGCGACTGCCTTAAACATTGATTTCCTTCCTGCGTTTGTTCTTAGTGGGGTATAGACGTGCAGAAGTGCAATAATGCGGGTCTGTCCTTATCAGATCTTGGATATTTCCCCAGACTGTCTGCAGCCATTAACCTTGCATATTATCTGACTTTGGTGATTAGTACTGGGCACATAAACCCGTATTGATGGCCGGTCTTGGTGGAGAATAGTCTGCTGAGTTATTGGGGGCTGGATTTTGCTGACTCTGTGATACAGATGATAGTATTATGCTGGTGCTGCGAGATTGCTCATTTGTCATCTCTAGGTGTGCAGTGTGGCCATGCGGGGCTGGGCTACGAGGAGAGGCTTGTTGAGAAGCGTTAATCCCAACTCACTGCGCTTCCCAAGGCTGCGCTGGGGCAGCCGCACCTGCTGACTCTGTGCTCTCGTTTTCTCATCCTTGCTCTGCTACTGCTGCTGTTGTTGCTCAGCCGCTCAGCCGTGTCCGACTCTTGGCGACCCCATGGACCGCAGCACATCAGGCCTCCCTGTCCATCACCAGCTCCCGGAGCTTGCTCAAACTCATGTCTGTTGAGTCGGTGATGCCATACAACCATCTCATCCTCTGTCGCCCCCTTCTCCCCTTCC